AGGATTCAGGAGGAGAAATGATCAGGTATAAGCCAAACATAAATATTGTACCAAGAAGCAATAATCAATATTACAACTTTCCCACCCCCCAAAAAGGCTGTCTCCCTCATATAAAGGCCAGAGAAAGGGTGGCCTCTTCTTATAGAGAGTCAGATGCCATGTTGGTAATTCAGTTGCTAGATAATCTGCCTCTGAGGTAAATTCGTTCTTTGTTTACTCTTGAGTCCCTCTTATTCTCCTATGTGTCATCGAGAGAGGTGGCTGTTTGTTCCATCACTGTGGGGTGATGGAAAACCACCAGTATCACCCTTCTATAAACAGAAATACAATTTTATGTCTTTCTGAATGTTTCATGTCATTAAGTCATTGCAATATCCATATTTATGTTACAATTATTTTCAGTCCATGTTTTTTTTCAGTACCTATCAATGAGTTTATTTAAAGGTTATGTAGGAAGATACTATAGGGATGTTAAAAGATTGTGTGAAAATTAATGTAGCACCTAAAAGAATCGTGCAGTAGCTTTTATTGTCTATGTACTGTACTAATATGCAAAAATAAGTGTGTCGTCAGATGTCACCGGTGTGGTGCTCTGCTCTGTCCAATGTTGATAACCGTGTGCGTGTGTTCCCTCTGCCTGCTGCCCCGGCTCTGCGCAGATCGCTGACACAGCAGACCCTGAGAGAACCCCCAATGACCACAGACTCCGATAAGGTACAAAGGCACGCAGCCAGGTTTATTGTCAAACAAAGCACAGTAATAGTTTCCCACAGACTCTACCGGATATACTATGAATATGTGCCCCCTGACAATGGACGCAGCTCAGTCAGTGGCGGGACTCTCCACTGCCTCCTAGGCTGGACAAAGACATCCACTCAGGGATCCATTCTTATACACAGGTACAAACATGTTACACATCACTTCTGATGCATTGAGGTACAGCCCCTCTGAATGTTGGGGCGCTGCCTCTCTCCTGGTACATGTTGGTTCAAACCAACAAGTCTATCCATTATATTATCCTTTTGACTCTTTTAGGATGAGTCAGCCTATTCCTCCTCATCTCCTAGACAAATTGGAGGATTGGGCCAAAATAAATCTGATGAGGTTCAACAAGGACAAGTGCAGAGTTCTGCACTTAGGAAGGAAGAATCCCATGCACCGCTACAGGCTGGGGACCGACTGGCTAAGCAGCAGTTCTGCAGAAAAGGACCTGGGGATTACAGTGGACGAGAAGCTGGATATGAGTCAGCAGTGTGCCCTTGTTCCTAGAAGGCCAAGGCTTATTGGGCTGTATTAGTAGGAGCATTGCCAGGAGATCAAGGGAATTGATTATTCCACTCTATTCGGCACTGGTGAAGCCCTAGTCTCTGTTTGTCAGAGAGTGGAGATGGATGGCAGGAGAGAGATCACTTGATCATTACCTGTTAGGTTCTCTCCCTCTGGGGCACCTGGCATTGGCCACTGTGGTAGACAGGATACTGGGCTAGATGGACCTTTGGTCTGACCCAGTACAGCCATTCTTATGTTCTTATGTTCACACCTGGAGTATTGCTTCCATTTTTGGTCCCCCCACTACAGAATGGATGTGGACAAATTGGAGAGAGTCCTGTGGAGGGCAACGAAAATGATTATGGGGCTGGGGCACATGACTTACGAGGAAAGGCTGAGGGAACTGGAGTTATTTAGGCTGCAGAAGAGAAGAGTTAGGGGGGATTTGATAGTAGCTTTCAATAACCTGAAGGGGGGTTCCAAAGAGGATGGAGCTAGGCTGTTCTCAGTGGTGGCAGATGACAGAACAAGAAGCAATGGTCTCAAGTTGCAGTGGGGGAGGTCTAGGTTGGATATTAGGAAACACTATTTCACTGGAAAGGTGGGGAAGCACTGAAATGGGTTACCTAGGGAGGTGGTGGAATCTCCATCCTTGGGGGTTTTTAAGGCCTGGCTTGACAAAGCCTGGGCTCGGATGATTTAGTTGGTGTTGGTCCTGCTTTGAGTAGGGGATTGGACTAGATGACCTCCTGAGGTCTCTTCCACCCTAATATTCTATGATTCTATGATCTCTGTGGAATGTATTCGTACCGGAATGTTCTGGTGCCATCCTGCAATGTTTATCCTATTAGTACTTGATACCCTTTAGATATGTGTATATGTCCAATTAGCAGCCTTCTTCTTGCCAACTTTTGTGAGCAGGGCCTGCCTCTGGCTCACAGCTTAACTTTGCTTTACTTTAGTTCAGGCCTCAGACCAGGCCTCTGATACCAAGGGTTTGTTTCAGGGCCTCATCTCACTACAAAAATCATTATCATTCCTCTGTAATATCCTAACTCAGATCATCTCAAAACTAACGGTAGGGGGCTCAAATATGCTTGCTCGTCCAGGGCGCTAAAATGCCTACTTACAGATCTGTCATTTTCCTTGCTCTTCTCTCAATTCCCTCCAGTTTGTCAATGCTTTTCTGCTTCTACCCAGAACTGAATACAATATCGTGGTTGTGATCAAACTAGAGCTGTATAGAGAGGGACTGTTACGTCCCTGTTAGATGTGATATGATATGACTGTCTATATGAAGCTCAAAATGGTATTAGTTGAATTTCCTGCCGTCTCTAATATATTGTTCACCATCACAGTGGAGAGCAAGTGTAACTCCAGTGACTTCAGTGGAGCTGCCCCATTTTACAACAAAGCTGAGTTTGGCTCTAGGTCCCTTTGGCATTACAGTTTTCATAAGTTTCTCCCTCCCACTGAATATCTGTCCGTGTTTTGGGATTATTTTTCTCCTAATGCGTTACTTTGTATTTTCCTGAAATTCAGTCTCCTGTTTAACCCAGCTCACAACAGGACATTCCTGTTGGTTGTGGCTTGTTCGAACCTGTAAGCAGATTTGCAGTCTGCATTGTGAACAACTGCAGTTGTGTAACACTCTTTATGCTGGCAGTTCATGAAGTGGCAGATTGAGTTTAAATTGGCACCATTGAATGGTCTGTGCTCTGGCTACATGTGAAATATTTTTCACCACCTTTTCAATGATGCCATCACTGGAGGTTGGTTTTAGCAGGTTGATAGTCATATTGGTGGGCCCTGGAGTGTTGAAATTATTCCTCTTCAACATCCAGATCAGTCCTCTCTCTTCACTTTTACTTTTCTGGCCACATCTCTTTCCTAGTGTTGGATTTGCCACCTTTTTTGTATAATTTTCAGTGAGTGTTTGTTATTCTCTTAAAATGTGATTTTAATCATAGTATTTATTTTCATATAGTACCTGGAGTGCTTACATGAGCAGAGCTCCAAAAACAAATTTGTATTTATAATTGTGTTATTTTTAAAAGATGCAATAAAGACAAATACTTGAATTAATCAGTTCTGAGATCACAGGACCTCGTGTTATGCTGAAACGTAGTTGCTTCTTTCAGTCTTTCTAAACAGCAACAAACAATATTGAATGTTGATTATTATGTATATTTCTTTTATGTCAAATTGTAAATACAGTAATCTGAGATTATTAAAAGTTTCACCACAGTAAGGGTCAGGTGCTCTCCCTATTTCATGTCTGTGCAGTTACAGGAGTAATACCAGTCTTTGTGCTTATTTGTAAACAATGATTTTCCATGGATTCCCATTTCCTTGCAATTGGGTGTTAGCAGGCAGTTAGAAAACCAGTCATGTGTCTGTGAGCTAGGTGTTCAGTCTTTTCAAAATGAATCCCTAACCAAAAAATCAATGAGTGAGGTGGAAAAGTCAAAGTTCTCTGGCTTCAGTGAATTAGCTTTATGTGCAGTCTGAAGTTATGTCCATTGGCCAAACCTTTTGTGTGACCTGAATGGAAATAATACTACCTGACACATAAGGTGCATGATAGTCAATCTCCAAATGTTAGGGTTATATTTAGTGAGTGAATTTGGCATGAAGTATTATAGTAAACAAATATTGTCTTCCATTTAAACCTAAACTTGTACTCATGCACTTAGGAATTAGACATGCACAAAACTTACACACAACAGAGTAGGTTTCAAACTCAGCAAATGATAGCTAAAGATTAAAAGCCCAACCATCTCCATCACCACATGCTGATTTAAGGATCTTGTGAGGTCCAGCTTCACATTTCTAGGTCCTTGCTGTTCTTGGTATCACTTAAATCTCTAGAGTTTCTTATTTTCTGAAGAAGTTAACGTTACCCGTGATGCCCTACAAATCCTTATTGTTTTGTGTAGCACGTTTATTACTTTTCATTTTTTGTGTTTGATATAGTGTAAAAAATAACCAAAGTGTTTATTAGAAGGTTTGGAAATAATCTCTGATCAACAAGAAATGTATGAAACCCTTTCACATGAGAGAAAGGAAAAATCCTTTCACTGAGACGGTATCTGATCTTTCTCCCTGATGACAGTGGCATAGTCATAACGTATGGGACACTGTAGGCATATATAGATTCAGAGTCCTTTTAAAACAATGTTATAAACAGGACAATTAGGATCTCACCATACTCAAGGTGCAAATAAGCTTCTTAAGTGCAGACCAATGTAACAGAGGCGTTCTGTGTAATTTTCATCACATGTAACTGTTTTTATAAGTGTATATTGCTTGATAACTGATTCTCCGGGATTACACCCATGACTTAAATTGTTCTATAATTGTCAGTGCACAGCATTGTTAGCCTGCCCTTGTTTTTTTCACTGTTATGTCAAAAGGCATTCAAATGCTGATTAATATGAGTGGATTCATTAAAGACAATTGCAAACTCTGCTAAAATTTTGTTTTCTTGTGCTAAGATTAAGATCAGAAAGGAAAGAAGTCATAACCAAAACATAGATTGACCAGATCCAACCTTTAATTTGGTTTTGTATGAATGGATGAAACCCTTCTTTCCTTTCCAAAACAAACTTCACGGGATTAGATCATTGAGTTAAAATAGGTGGAATGAGTTGTTTAGAATACATTTTTTCCCTAATATTTCTATTAAGTAGAAGAATATACTAAGTTTTGGTTATAACATGTCTTCCCAGGTATATCTTGAAAGACTGTTAACTTACGCAGAGATAGATATTTGTCCAGCAAACTGGAAGCGAATTGTACTGGGTGCAATTCTACTGGCATCCAAAGTTTGGGACGACCAGGCAGTGTGGAATGTGGATTACTGCCAGATCCTGAAAGATATCACAGTTGAGGACATGTGAGTTCCATATGTTTTATCTCAGTCTGCGGATGCCGAGAATTTTGTATGCATATGTGTTTGATGTTTCTTATACTCCCTAACAGACTTTATTATGTAAAGTTAGTGCACTCCAGATTATATCTAGAGACATGGAATGTTAACAGATTCTGATGAATTTATTGGGACCGTAAATGCAACTATGCCTGTTGCTGATTGCTCTGTGGGATTGTAGCATTTTTGAAATTGTGTGTACTGCAATTTTTTTTGCAATTTATTGTTATAGTAAAACAGAATTGTTACACACTGTTTTAAAAATATACGTTACTACTGGAGTGTTTGTTAGTGCAAGAGTGGCAAATAATGGGCCCCCTGGATGCTTAAAAACTATTGTTGAATAAAAACAGGACTAATAAGCCTGCAATTCTTTACCTGTGTCTTTTTAAATCATATTCACTGATTCTGCTTGTGTTGATTCTGCTTGTGGACAATGGTCCACAATTTTTGGATTTGTTATACAGGATGATGTTTTCTGCATTACATCAAAGTCCATTAGTTGCCTCAGGCCCACAACCAATCAGAAATACTGGCTTTGGTGGGTTTGTTCCTTGTCTTGCCAAGTTAGCTTGCAGGGTGTTAAAATTCACAAATATATTTGGAATGGGTTCCCCCAATCTCTTTCTGCATCATGACATGACTATACATTGCATCAGCGTGGCTGGATACATACTGCATCATACTGGGATGCTATAGGTTTGGCTAGGAGGATAAATACCACTTAACGGTACCACTAAATCTTTTCAAAGAGTATATTCCAGCAGTAAGAGAGGGGCCAGCCAAGAAAGCAGAATTGTAAGCACTATATTTCCCAGTAGATTGTTGGGTGTGAAATTTTGGCAGGTTAGGTTTTGTAGACCTTTGTGGAACACACACATATATATATATTATGCTTTCCAGTATCCCTACACCATGAGTTCAGTGATGTGCACCATGTTCAACCAGAGGTGCACTGGAGTATATGTGAGAATAGCACTGGAGCGGTAGAGACTGGAGTCATTATGCCAGCATAGTGCTAATCAGGTAGAATGCCTCCAAGAGGCCAATGCACTCAGAAAGCAACAGCTCTTAAAAGGCACAGTGTGTATTCCCCCAGTATTGGTCTTCAGGCACTAGCAGGTTTGTGTGAGAACCAGGCCATGTGTTCTGTACCACAGACAGTGCTAACCAATCTTCTGGTATTTAGAGCAACTGCTTCAGCATGGCTTCTGCATCCTACACAGGTACGCTAGAGGAGATAATGTGCTCTTTGCATCCTCCCTGATGCTCACCAGTGCACCTGCACGGAGCAAACTACAGTTTCTCTTGTATATGCAACTATCTGTGTGGGTGTTTGCATAAAATGGTTTTCCATTAGGGAATGGATGTACAAGCTGTGGGCGCTGTTCATATCCTATATTTTTCCCTGAGGGGCCGGGTTGAGGAAGATTAGCTTCTTTAGAGAAAGAGGGGGCGTTTACTGAGATCGTTTAAATAGGATTGCTTTAGCTGATGTGTTGGTTTAATTGTTTATATCTTATGAATTAATACATGCTCAGAGTAACATAATGAGGATTTTATAAATCTAAAATCGATAAATTAAACGTGTTGCTTGATTGTCAACAGAAGTTGAACCCAGGGCCACTAGGCACTTTTGAAAATCCCACTGGTGCACCTATTTTCATCTTTAGGCACCTAAATACCTTTAGAAGTCTGGCCCTAATCCATTAACTGTAGGCAGTAGCAAGAGGCTATATGTTGGGAATCAGACATAGGGGGACACAGGGCCACTCAGCCAGCATGCCATGCATGCTTATTCGTGTGCCCCCTCTACCGCCCGGGGGGGGGAGAGCTCTATTCAATGCTTTCAGCTGCCTTTCCTCAGGACATGCTGATGTAGAGCACGTCTGTTTTCAAATAATTTTCAGTTTTAATTTTTATTTTTTTTACATTTCTGATCCCTAGCTATTAAATAATTAAAGAGAGAGAGAGAGAGAGAGAGAGAAGGAAAAACTGATCTATGATGACTCTAGAGGCAAAAAGCTAATACCTGAATTTTGCTTCCTTACATGTTCTTGATAATTATATAACTCATTAACTATGGCTATTTTTACTGTAATGTTTTGTGGTAATTATGTGCTTTTCTGGAATAATATTAATATGGTTAATATTCTCCAAAAAGCACAAAAAAGAGCCCTTTAGAAATAAGACCTTTAAAAAGATAGCATTTTTTCTTCCATTGATCATTTTGGTGCAGCATTCATAATCTTACCAAAAATGTAAAACTCAATGGGAATTTTTTCTAATTAAAATTAACTATTAGTAAGCCAAACAAAATCCCAATTAGATATACTGCTTAAGACATTTTTATAATAGCTTCTGTACATTTGAATGTTAACTTTGAGAATTATTATAACATGAGGTGTGAGTAGTTAATGGAAAGTATTGCTGTCTGGTCTATGCTCTAACTCACGTTGACGCATAACCATTAAAGAGACTTTGGATAGTTGGCATGTCTAAGCTTTTTATTGGGGACTGGGGCAAGAGAAGGGGAAAGGAGAACAAATGTTTATACAGACAGCACATCTTTTTTAAATCTCAGATTACAGCCTCAAAGCAGTGAAGGTCCAAGCATTATTGCTCAAGCGGCCCCAGTTTAGCTTCCAATTAGTTCACTGCTTGTCCTATAAAGGAAAAGATAAATGCTATGATTCAGCTGAGTGCTTTATATTAAGCATGTTGGGGTCCCTCTGGCTGGGAGGAGCTTTATAAAATGTGACCTATCATTGCTGGAATATTAAGAAAGTTTAGTCTAAATCAGTATTAACTAGCCATTTCTAATGAGGGTTTATTGTCATGGGCCAAAAGAAAATAAATAAAACATGATTGTTCTGGTAAGTCATATGCACACCCAGATGGCATGGGGAAAACACATACCAACGTGGCACTGAGGTGGGAAATATGGCAGATGCCACTCTGGGTATTATTATTATTTTTTTAATTCAACAGTTACTGTTACCATTAAAAATAATCAGTAAAAGGTCGATGTCACGTCTAGTCCAACAAAATCAGACATAAGATTTGAGAATACAAAGTATAGATGGGAAAGTCCTACCAGTGGTAGGTCATCTGATCCACCCGCTGCCTCTGCACGATTGTTCCATGTTGTACATTTTTGCAGTGCTTTCTTGGCTGTTTTGATTTTTTTCATGATGGATTTTGCTAAGCTACTCTTTTCCTGCATGGTCTTGTTCCCGCGCTCCTGACATTTGGGTTCTGAGAGTTGCAGGAAAGACCTCCTTTCACTCCTCCTGCAGCTTAGCCCCTGATGAGCATATCACACTTTTTAAAAACCGGTTTTGAAGCTGCTGTGTTTTTCCTGCATAGACTGGAAAGGCTAAGAGTTTTGAGTGGCTGTAATGAAGACTGACTGTGTCCCATGATATTTCAGACCATTTACCTGAGACTGGTCCTACATAAGGTGATGGAGATTGTCAGTTTTAGCATCATTTTGAGTTTGTCAAAGGTGCATTTGAAGAGGAAGAATTTGAAGATGCATTGGAAAGGGCACAATGTTCTGGTGTCACGAGAAAGAAAAGGTGGATGGAATGCATGATGGTGCTGTTAGTCATACTTCACCTATCTAAAAATGTTCCCCACATTCTTGATTATCCTTAGATTCTATCTGTCTTCTGAGGACTAGGCAAAGCTCCGCTCCTGCAGAGCTTATTGGCTGGGCACAACTGAGCTCCCCAGGGGACTTTGCCCTTAGGCCCTGGAACTCCTGTGTAACTCAGTCCGGCAGAGCAGCTTAGGTCTGTTCTTGCCAACTTCTTGTAGTCCTCAGGAATGGCGCTCCAAAGCCAGCAGTCTTAGGGAAGCCTGCTGGCTCCCTGTTAGATGATCCTGGGTGAGCTGGCTGAGCAGGCTTTGAACTCTTAGTTTGGGGGAACACCAGACACCTAAGCACAGAATTCAAAGCTTGCTAAACCATCTTCCATGATTATCTATATAGCTAATTCATCCAAAGGCTTTTCAAGTAATTGGGATTGTATTATGAATTTCTATGGTGCCTGATGTTTGGGAAGCCAAGGGCTTTAAATATTGAAATTAACACACACAAACACAACATAGCTATTAATCGCAATGTTAACCATTGTGATAGGGTATAGGGTGAAAGTGTCTTTCAGACCACCAGAACCTAGACCAGTGGTTTTCAAACTTTTTTTCTGGCAACCCAGTTGAAGAAAACTTTTAATGCCCATGACCCAACGGAGCTGGGGATGGAGGGGCTCAGGGTGGGGAGGGGGCTCTGGGCTGTGGCAGGGGGTTGGGGTGCAGGAGAGGGTCAGGGCTCTGGGCTGGGGGTGCAGGCTCTGGGCTGGGGCTGGGGATGAGGGGCTTGGGGTACAGGAGGGGGCTCTGGGTTTGGGGGGGCTCAGGGCTGGGGCAGCAGATTGGAGTGTGGGAGGGGGTGTCAGGGCTCTAGGATGGGGGTGTGGGCTCTGGGGTGGGGCCGGGGATGAGAGGTGCAGGAAGGGGTTCTGGGGTGGGGGGGGGCTCAGTGCTGGTGCAGGGGATAGGGCACGGGGTTTGTGGCACGGGCTTACCCCCCCTGCCTAGGAGCTGGACCTGCTGCTGGCACTTCCGGGCGGAGCGCGGTGTCTGAACAGGTAGGGACTAGCCTGCGTTAGCCGGGCAGCACTGCTGATGGGACTTTTAACGGCCTGGTCAGTGGTGCTGACCAGAGCCGCCTTGACCCAGTGCCTTACATTCCTGCAGTTTGAAAACCACTGATCTAGACCATTTGATCAATACCAACACTTTGGATTGCACCTAGAGGCAAACAGGGAGCTGATGTAGAGAATTGAATTGTAGGTGTTTATAAATGCACAAGCTCACACCACGCAGAAATATAGCTGTGTTCTGAGCTAGTTTGAGCTTCTGTGTGAACTAGATGGGTAGCCATAAGTACAGCACATTACAATAATCTATTGTGGACAGTTGGTTAATTAAATTACATTAGCTCAAATGAGGAATATGTGTATGTTTTGATTGGTGTCTGTAGTTTTGCTAGTCAGTTGTAGATGATCTACTGATGTTACCTGGAAATCTGGGAGCGAAGATGTAGCCAAAAGAAGTCTGAGGATGTGTGCTGTTTTGTCAAAGTTGGTATATTCCTCAGTAGATTGACAGAGTTCCTCCTCTCTCTCTCTCTCTCTCTCTCTCTCTCTCTCAACAGGCTTCATGTTCTATATTATTCCTCCAGGCTTAGTTTGGAGAAAGTCAAATCTTGTATTTTTCTGGTAAACTCTTCAAAAGTTAAATTTTACGCCAGTATGGATTTTCTGTAACACTTGTACTACTTTAGTGCTACTAGAGAGCTGTTAGAGCACTGTCAGAAAGTTAGTCCCTCATTAAGCTTTTAAATATCAATATTGATATGTATCACTGTTTAAAAGCTGGATGTGGGAATTTAATAGGGAGTGGGAATATATTTTGAAAACAAGGTGATGGCCTCTGTATAAAGTGAGAAGAGCAAAAAAGTTAGTTGTCATTCACTGCTCCACTTGGCATTTTCCTCTCTCAACCTCAACTATTTCCTTTCATCACCTGCTGTCCACTTTTTATCACACTGATCCTGTGCAATCAACATGTAGCCTAAATGTATCACAGCAGTAAACACACACACACAGATTTTAATGCTGCAATTTCCATATAAACTGTATTGCCCGCTTTAGAGTAATCATGTACAACATTGATCCCTCATTCATTTTTCTTAAACATTACAAAATATATTTTGTAGTTGCTATTTTCAATATGACAACCTACCTTGTTTACTTTGCACACCTGCATCTCAAATAATATAGAGAATAGTGTAATATCATTTATGAAAACCATCAACCCTTTAACTTCAATGGTTTACTGCAGTGGTTTTCAACCTTTTTTTTTTTTATTTCTCATTTGTGGAACCCTAAAAATTTTCGAATGAAGGTGCGGACCCCTATGGAAATCTTAGACGTAATCTGCGGACCCCCAGGAGTCCACAGACCCCATGTTGTGCACCACTGCTCTATGGTAACAACAGTCTTACACGGACCCCTTAGACATAATCCGCGGACGGCCAGGTTCCATGGACCACAGGTTGAAAACCACTGATTTACTGGCTTATTTCCATTCGTTTTTGGTGTGTGATACAGTCAGACAACCATAACTCAGACTTTACAAAGTATTTTGTGTGGGAATATCAATAATGGTGTCTATTACTGACAGTTATGTTGGTAAACAAATCTGTCTTGTTTTATTGTTGCCCAGTATCAATTTTGCTTACATGTATAGGGGGAAAGTAACCTCATTTGCTCTGATTGGAAGCATCCATAAAAGAGACTGGGAATGGTGGGGAACTAATTTTTTCCTGAATAATTAAAGAATGATAGTGGAAGCTGAAACGAGGTAAATAATTTTTCAGAAAAACCATGGTTTAGACTTGTCCCAGCACTTGTAAGAGAAGTCTGTGACAAACTGAAACTAGTTTTATTCTCTCCCAGGAGTAAGACGTGTACTTGGTTCAATTTGTTGTAGTTTGATGTAAAGTATTCTCAGGTGGTGGCGGGAGTCTAAAATGTATTTTTACATTTATTTTCTCGTTAACAGGAATGAGCTGGAGCGCCAGTTTCTTGAGTTGTTGCAGTTCAACATTAATGTTCCCTCCAGTGTTTATGCCAAGTATTATTTTGATTTGCGTTCCCTGGCAGAAGCGAATAACCTGAGCTTTCCTTTGGAGCCCCTCAGCAGGGAAAGGGCATATAAACTTGAGGTAAGATGGTTTCCCTTCATGTTGCGGAGTTGAGAGCTGATGAGACATCTTGGAGTGTTTTTTGTTCAGACTATCGTTGGTGGAAAATCAGAATCTCATGAACCCAAAGTGGTATTACTGACCACAAGTGCTGTTCTGCAAGTGCCATTTTTTGTGGCTCTGTGGACATTTTTTGGGCTAAATGTGCTTCACCTTTTGGTTTGGTTTGTAATTTTTTTTTCAACTCTTGTAGACTGGTTTCAATGCAGTGAAATGTTAGTGGTTATGTTAACTGACCATCAGAAAACAACTTCAAGTTTTACAGTATGTTTTACACTGACTTTTGGTCAAAGATCAGCTGTTAGACAACCAGATTTTACTGATCCTTTTGGTTGCATACAACCTGTTTTCATTCTACATATTTGTAATGAACTGGATACTGACAAGTGCTTATGGAAATTCCCATTCTATGTACATCGGCCTCATTCTCGTTACTCCATTGATTTCAATTGGCTTACTCCTTAATCTCATTAGTGTGAGAGGAGAATCAAGCTCATTTTGCTATTAAATTGTCAGACCTTAAGATACATTCTTACAGGACCTGATTTATAAGAATACTTGAATGTGTCATGGGGCCTGATCCTGTGAAGTGCGGAGCATCCTAAATTCTCATTGATGTGCATGGGGTTTAGGGACATCAGACCAGCTCAATATTTTGTAGGAATATTTCTTGACCCTTTGATTTTAAGGTTTTAAAATGTCATTAACATCATTACATGAAAATGTACACATGTTGCGGCTAATTTGAAATCTGCCATTGATTGCTGACCAGTCTTAATTTCCCTTAAGAATACAACTGCTTTGCACCTGAAGCTCTTTATCTGAGGATCTCAAAGCTTTCCTTGCATTCAGACTCTCCGTGCTCCTGAGAAATATTCAGGCATTACTGTCCCTATTTTCCAGAAGGGAAAACTGAGCCACAAATGGTTAATTGATTTATCCAGGTCACACAAGGAATTAATAGACGCACTGGGAATTGGGGTGGTTGAAAAGTAATGGGGAGAGAATTCGTGAATATTTTAGCAAAATTTCATTTCTGTTTTCATTGAAAAATTTGTCAAAATGTCTGAGCCAGCTCTAGCTGACAATATAACTGTTCCCTAGATAACAGGCCACACTAATTTGTACAAAATTATTTACACTAGTGATTCAAAAGTATGAAAATACGGTCAAGATACTAATCATATGTGTAGAAAGATAGCTTTGTTAAATTTTTAGGGATCTACTTCTGATAATGAGCTCTATAATGTATTGAACTAATGTAAATTAGTTTTGCATAGAAAAATGTAGGTGAGAATTTAGTGGAACAGGTTGCCCATGTCTGTATCACACACAAGGTAAAAGATCTGGATAAAGCCTTTTTCATTTTGACTATAAGCTTATGACTGTTCTCACAGACTCCAGAAAAGAAAATACTTAATAAACTCTATAAAAAGAGAGGGAGTTGAAGCATTATAAACACATCCGCATAACAGAGGCAGCTCATAGTCTCTTAGCATTTATGGATGATTTCTTATTCTCTCTTTATCTAAAAGCCGATCAAGAATTAATTTGTACTTACTGAGGAAAATGCATGCTTAAAAGATAAATAGAATAAGATCAAAAAGATAGCAAGCTTAATAATACATGTATTTGGGCTGATTTGCAGTGGAGGTGCAAAGCAGCTCTAAGGCAGTATAGCTGGTCACAGGAAGAACAACGCAGAGAAGAGGGACCCTACAGTGATGTAGACCTGGTGTAATGGCTCTTAGACTATACCCACATCCTGTGACTGGGAAAAGGGGGACGTGACCGAGGCTTCCCCGCTGCTTGACAGTCCCTGGCTGCCATAATAGTCCCTTGGAGACATTGGTAAACAATGTAATTTACATCAGCCTTTATTCTGCTCTAACTTATTCGCAGGGATGAGCACGGCCGGCTCTAGGATTTTTGCCGCCAAAAGCAAAAACAATTTTGGCCGTCTCCCCCCCTTATTTAATTACCCCACCCCCGGCCCCACCTCAACTCTGCCCCTTCCCCCAAATCCCCAGCCCTGCCTCCTCCCTCCAGGCTCTCAAGCCTAGGAGGGCGGGAGGGAGGGAGGGGGAGAAGCGGCGCCGCGCCGTGGCCACTCGGAGTCTCCTCCTCCC